TGCAAACATACGGTCGTCATCAGTTAATCAACTAATCTGCATTACTAACCCAGTTTGACCTGTTTTACCCATCTGATGCATTTTGGTTTCCAGTTCACTTGCATCTTGTTTTTTTTTATTTTTTTATCTGTTGTCACCATCACTGCATCTCAGAGACCAGAGTCGTGACTCTTGCTCTGAACAATTCAGGGAAGCGTGTGATTATGTAAGCTAACATTAAGCTGCTTTCTGAGGGAGCTGAAAGGCTCATGGCAAAGCCTATCTCCTTCAGTCACACTCTTGTCTTCTCTTGTTTCCAACAGACTGAGTTGTTTGACTTCAAATTCTTGGTGTAAAAAAAACAAGACATGATATGTGTCTGGATAGACTTGTCTGAAACAAATGAAGCAAAGTGCTAGGAAAGAAGCGCCATCACACACTCAGTGCTTTGTTTAAACTAGTTGGACAAAAGACAAAACAATATTGTCATTTACAAATGACTGACTAGCTCTGGGATGCTGAGATGGAATAGTGCTAGTCAGTTATTTGTTGGTGTCTCCACTTTTCATGCTCTTACGAAACCTTATGTACAGGTTTACCTGGACGTTTCGTCTTTCTACAAACAACATCCAGATACTAAAGAATATTTCACAAAGCTGAGTCAGATTTAAGTCCAGAATGTGGAATCACTGGCGGTCTCGCCTTTCTGTAAATCAGTGACTTGTACATGTGATTATTATCTTTTTATGTGATTTCTTTTTTAAGTTTTTTCTTAAATTATCTCCCATTTGTATCTTTAATAAAGCTGATGATGATGATAAAAACTCAGTTCTTGTTACCTGACAAAGAGGGAAATGATTTTCTGAAGCCAAGTACTTATGTCCATTCTTCCTGTATTGCAGCATGGCCGGCTTAGAGTTACTATTTCCGCGCAGGTAGATGTCCAACGTTTGAGTAAAGTCTATTTGATGTGGGTTTCACATGAATTGCAGTGTATCAAAACCTCTGAACTTTTGTTCTCTCTTGTACTGTATGCATCTCTCTTATCAACATTCTGTGTGTTTTTCATCTGTGAGCGTAAATATGAGTTCAGATGGCTCGAAAAAGATGAAAACGTTTTCTGTTGTCTGCTGCCTCGACTGGTTTACCTAAATATGCAGAATCCCTCTAAATTTCTTGGCCAGAAACATAAGCGCTACAGTTGCTCATATACCCATTTAGCTAGCAGAGCAGACCTTGGTTTCCTGCTATGATATCTCATAGGCCCATAAATGAGAGAGGGTGAGATATTTGACCGTTCATCTATGAATAATTCTCTCCTCATTTCTTCAGTTATTCTTCAGGTCTCCACAGTTTTGTTGACCGCAGCTGTAGAGATTTAGTTTTGATTCCTTTACTAAACTTCTGAGTGGTGGCGAGATAAACTTTGGGCCTGTGTGTCACGTTAGGGAGTGTTAATAAAAAATTCAAAGACATTAGATCAGGTTTAAAGTGTAAAGAATTAGTGTGCCAGTTGGTGTGTGATAAACACTGATTAAACAAAGAGTGAAAATAAGGATTAAATGAGTGATGGGGAAAATTTTTCTGTTTTGATTCATTTCTCCTTTTAACTTTTTCTTCTTGCTGTGTGGTGGGTGTTGTCTTTAAAAACCATCCTCATCATTTTAATGTCTGTTTTGCATGTGACTAAAGATTTCTCTCACTTGCTTCCCTTTGCATTTGTTATTGCATTCTTTTGTTTATTTCCTCTTTCTATTATGTTTGAAATGACTTTGTATTTCTACCATCACCTTTTTAAATGGATGAATTTAAAACCACATGATTGTGCTGAAGGAAGCGACTAGCCTGAAGGTTGTAAAAGCATCTAAACTTCTCTATTCTCCTTCATGCTTTCGAAGATCCAACTCAATAGGGTAAGAATCACTCAGCCGGTTATGTCACATTAGTTGCTTCTTACTAAGACTTCTTAGCTCAGTGTATCTCGGTCAGATCAGCAGTGAACACCAGCTGGATGGCACCAGTGAGGACTTGGCCAGCTTAGAAATTGCTGCTGTCACGCCCGGTGGCTGAACTCAATCAGCTGTTGTATTCAGCAACGGTTTAGAAAAGCTAAATAAACCTAAATCCGGTTGGAGTTATGATGGACTTCTTTAAACAATATTGCACAGTCAAGATGAGAAGTGAAATCCTCTTCTTTTTTTTTTTCCTTAAAGACTCTCGCAGCAACATAAGAAAATTTCTGTTGGCAAAGATTTTTACCGTCGAATGAGAAGTTGTGGGACTAACGCTGCACATGCAAACTGTTGATGTTGCTTCTGTGTGTGATCTGAGCTAATCATTGACTCCTCTCTCACCACGCTCTCTGGAGACAGATATTCTGTCAGGCACTCTGTGAGCATGCCTACCATGAGGTAAAAAAACTGTTTGTTTCTGTGTGTGAGAAGTTTTATTTTTTTGATTATTATTATTTTGGCCCTTTAAAGCAGCTTGAAATACCTGAAATGTTTCCCTCGTTTGATAAGAGAGGAAAGTCCCCACCCTCTCTTATCAGTTGCCGTCCCTGTTTCCTCCTACTTTAAGTTTATACAAAGTTGTTTAAATTTGTTTAGCTCCTCCCTCTTCTATGTAGGTAACAATTTCCCAATTGAATGTGTGAATTCAAACGGGTATATTTCTCAGAATGTATCTAAAAAAAAACATAATTTTCTAAAATTAACATATTTTTAATGTGTTTTGTCCAACAGAAACTCACCCAGCTTCAGATCCTTTGAAGAGAAAGTCGAAAATACAGTTTCCACCATTAAGGTAAGCTGTATATGCATTTAAAAAAAAAGGTAAAGTATTAAAACGGTGGCATTGTTGTCATATTTAAGACAGTTGTCCACTAGAACATGCCAGATAATAGGTTGGACAATAACATTTAAATAAGTAGTGCAACATTTTTCCCTTATTCAGCATAAAGAATTATTTTGTCTAAAAGATTTTTAAAAATTAGATACTTGGAAAGCTACTTTTTTCTGTAATCAAAGACTTACATGTATGTATAATAAATTAAGCACTTGCATCCATCATGTGATAAAGGATGGACCACTTCTTTGTGTTCCTGTTGTTGTCTACTCTCATTTGATATTTAGTCATTTGTAGCTCTTTTTGGTGTCGCACTTGTTTTGAAGTGATTGCTTCCTGTCTGAGGTCATCAACAGGTGATTCTCCACGCCGCTCTTAACACAGTATGTTGGTCCTTTGTGAGTCTGTGTGGCTCAAAAGGTTCCTCTCCCACGTTACAGAGGAACAATGAAAGGGAGTGAGCTAAGCACTGTAATCTGTGTGTAATTACTGTCATACAGTGTGACAGTGAGAGCACGGATTATTTATACACGCTGTGGCGTCCTCTGGTTGAACTTTTGTGACCAACTTCTGCTTTGGGATGACTTGTTTCTGCAAGCTGTAGAGTAAAAGAACTAGATGCATGTAGTAATCATGCTAATTTACTAATTTAAGCTAATGCTTAAATTAGCTAATGCTAATTTAAGCTCTAGTTGTAATGCTGGTGATAAAAAAGTCGAGTTTTTTCCAGCCCAGAGTAGAAAAGCTTGATGGTGGCGTTTTTGACAGCTTAAATGTTAATAAGCTTTTCTCCTAATTTCATCATGCTTCTGTTTTTGTCTTTTCTGTCTCCCCTTGGCACCAGACTAAAGTCGGAGGCACTGGCACCGGAGGCAGCTTCGAGGAAGTCCTCTCGTCTGCAGCCAACGCCAGCTCTCAGGAGACGCCCACCAACAACCTGACGGACATCTCCGAGAAACCCTGTTAGGACTCCGGACCGCCGTCTTGCTGTATCACAGCACATTGTTGTGGATCTACTAGAATTTCTGACCAAAGCGGAAAGTGGCGTTTTGATTTGCAGACAAATCTTGTGTAAATCCTGCGACTCTGACAAAACTCCTGGCAATGCCACATTAAATAGACTTTGCTAAAATATCTTTGTTATTCATTTGGATAATCAGGAAGGCTGATTTTTAAAAGCATTCAAAATCTCATAAGGCAAACGAACTTCAAATATAGATCATGGTCCATTGTTCAGCCCTTGCTGTGAAAAAATTGTTCGGCTAAAATTGTTCACAGGTCAGTCTGACATCTTCAGTCTGCTGCACTATGAATTCTTCACGTTTTACTTGAACAATTTTATCCACAAAAAACAGGGTGAAGTTTTCACAGATGTTACACTACCAAACCTCCAGAAGGTTTGTAAGGAGTAAAATGTCCTGCATGTTACAGTGTCCCTTTAACTTTGTTACACATTAATTAAATCCAATAAAATGTGTGTGTTGTGTGCATAAAAGTATACGGCTACGATTTCTCAAAAAACAGATTTACGAAACAATGACTGTTAAGCATGCCGTATTTTTTTTTTGTTCTTTAAATCTGTGTGGGCTCTGTAACTTTGCCATGAAAATAACTTTATTACGTCATAGATTTTAAATGTTTTCAGACAATGAAGGATTTCTTTCCCACGACTCCAAAGGACACCAGAGTTCAACTTTTTTTATGAAACTCATCCGGATTCAGGTACTGAGAATCATTTGTCGAGTCTGAGGTAACGTTTTGCGATAATGAAAAATACAAAGAATACAATTTGCATTTATGTAATAACTATAGCCATATAAGACTCCATAATCACGTATCTACATAAACAGTTAACAGTTATGAACCCAAAGAAAATGTAAAAAGAGCGACACTGACTGTACAAGCCTGACTTAACTCTGCAAATATGGAATTAATGCAAAATTTACTGCAGTGTCCTGAAGCATGTAAAAAGAAAAAAAGACTAATTCACAAACTCATTCTGTATGCGTTTCTGTTCCTACCAGGCATATTCTGCATGACAACTCCATATTATGGAAGAAACCGTTGGTGTTATAAAATTTACTTCTTTTTTTATATAGATAACTTTTGTGATGTTGGATTTACCTGATATGTATCATGTTTAAGTATTTAAAGCTCATCAATAAACCTGGTTGATGTAGGAAACTTTCAATTGGAAAGTCCTGTTGTTTTTCTACGAAAAATGATTACAGATAATGCGGAAAAACATCCACTTTCATATTTTGCTGACTTATTATCAGCTACTATAATGTGTTGAACAAAATCCTTTCTGTCCAGTAAATTACTGCACATATTTCACCATATTAACAGCAGCAGTCTCTATAGTGGCACCATTTTGCAGAAAAATTTGTAGAAACAGAAATCGTGAATTTGATTTGTGGTAAATCCACATCTGTTTAAAAAAGAAAAAAATGTAATATGATCTGCTGATCTGAACAGATGAAGCAGATTTTTGCCTCCTGATTGGCTCTTCATGCACATGCAGGCTTCTCTCCGTCCTGATTTCTCCATCCATCAACAGAAATGTTTTTTGTTTTTTTTTTGCAGTCAGGACATTTGTGACATTGTGTGTTAGTGTTGACAGTCAGGGCCGTCGGTCTGTGATTCCTTCGGCTCCTTGGCGCTCCTTCCTCTTTGTTCGTTTAGGGAGCTGACCAGCTGGAGGACATCTGGGTGGTGGAAGCGACCTTCAGTGGTAGAAACGGAAAAAAGTCTACAATCAGACTGCTTTAAAATATTACACGTCAATCCCTTCATACAAAGTGAACACTGTCGAACACCCAGAAGGAAAGGGAGAATGTTTTGCTGGGGCTGAACTCCTACCTGCGGTGGAGTCAAAGAACTCCTGCAGCCTTCCTGGAGTTCCCTCCAGCTCTTCGTACTCGTGAGCCTGAATGATCATCTCCAGGAGGTCAAACTGTTTCACTAGCCTGGCCTCTGGACTGCTCTGGGATTCATATTCCTGTTCCACACACAACAATCCCATTACAGATTTCTTATTGCTTTTATAGACCCAATTAAATGTTTCTAATATGGTTTGATGAAAACATAAATAATGAACGTGGTTGTCAAATGGCATTTTCATTTATGTAGGGGGAAAAAAGGGATATTCATACCAAACTGGCCTAGTTTGAAAATGCAAATACTCCCTAAAGACAACATCTCTTTAAAAGGCAAGCATTTAAAATCCTCACCAAATTAAGAAGTGTGAACTGATTTCCTGAGTCTACAGGACTCAAAAGAGATTTGGTGACTGAAATTGAAGCAGACAAAGACTAAGAGTGAAACAGTAACTGAACAAGGTTGGTTTGGACCTTTTTTTTTTCCTGTAAAAGTTAAAATCATCTTTCGAAAACTGCGTTCTAAATTTACTCAGATCATGGCAGATTTTAAAATCTCTTTGATCATGTAAAACATCCAAAAGTGATTAAATAGCAAAACAGAAGAAATCAGTAACAAACAGTGTTTTCCCAGCACTGTATGGCCTTGAATGTAGTTACAGTACAAAGAACAAGACAATCATTTCATAGCCTCATCCAAAGTCAACATACCTCCCAAAGAGCATAAATCTCCTGTTTGAGACCATCCGGCAGCAGACTTGACAGATGCCTCATTGCTTCCTGAGTGAACAACAATAAAGTTTTGCTAAAGTTTGTTTTTCATAGGTAAAATATGCCACCAGTACGGTTTTCACTTGCCTCCTCTCTCCTGTGTTTCTCTGCTTTACTGACGTTGTCTGACGGTGCAATATCTCCGACAATGCACTCTGCCATGTCATGGACAAGTGCAAGTTTTATGCACCTGAGTGTGGAAATGAGACATGTGGGCAGGTATACAGGTGATTCTCCCTTTTAGTGATGCGATCATTTCTCTCCTAAATGTGATCTAAAAATTCAACAAAGATCATTTGCATATGCAACTCACCTGTCTCTATCTACTGTGGGGTCAGTGATGGTCAGAGACATCATCGTCATCCTGTACATGTGGTCTGACACACTCTCAGGATTCTTCACATTGTTGTACACCCAGCCAGTCCGTGGGACCCTCTGTGATAACCCACATGTCAGCAAAACTTTATATGTATAGGCTATATCAAAACATATTGCAATACAATACATATACATACTATAAGCCGCATCTACAAATAAAATAGAAAAAATCTGGAAAGGTACATACATAAGGACCCAGCAGAGGGCAGCAGAGGGCAGAGTCCTAATAAATATGTTGCATATATTGAGAACGCAGCCCTCTGTCTCCATGGTTTCGTTCACGCCGACTTTACGTGCAGCGGCTCTATTTCCCTCCTGAACTGCTAGCTGGACAGCCTTCAACTTACAAGATGTGTCATATGAGTTTGAAAACATTTCTCCGCCATGCCTGTTGCTAGCATGTGATTGTTCGAAACGAAAATTAGCATTTTCTTCTTTGATTTCTAATTTTGAAGTAAATTAATGATTCACTTCCTGCTTCAGAGCCCCCTGGCGGTTGAAGAAAAATCCACAGAAAAACGCACCGGGCTGGTGTTCAAAGCGAAGGGGAAAAAGGTAGCGGCTTATAGTCCGAAGGTATATCCTTAAACTTTTCTACATTTGTCACAGTACAACCAAATAAGTATTTAAGAATTTAAATAAGTATTTATGTGATGGATCAACACAATGTATAACAGAATTGTGAAGAGGAAGAAAATTAATAAATGTTTTTGTTTCTATAATATAAATCTAGAAAAGTTGAATTCATTCATTTACAAAACACAAACTTTCAAAACACAAGCTTTAATAACATTCACCAATAAATCATTTTAAGTTAATTTACAGATCTAAACTGTAAATGTATAAAGTCAGTACATCAATTCAGCACTGTGTCATGCATTTAGTCTACTCTCTTAAACTTCAGCATTAATGTGGATTGTTTAGACGCTTTCAGTTTGCTAGTTACAGACAGAATACAAAATCACCACATAAGTCTTACTTTTAGCTGTCCGATAAGTCTCATAAATTGCAGCATGTTTCTCATGCCGGCAGGTTTCTCACCGTGGGCTGCCATCTTTTATCTGCTTACCCGGATGTAGAAGACCAGATTAACTCATGTAGTACTAGGAAACAGCCGCGAGGTGGCAGCATTAATCTGATTAATCAAAGAGAAAATAGTTATGCTTTTTATTCTTCATCTTTTTTTTTTTACCTCGGGAGTTTTTTTTTTTTTTTTTTTGCTTTTATTAAAAATATATATGCATGTATAAATACGATGAATTTGTATTTTAAAAATAAAGATTATTTTAGAAAAACATCCACAGTGTAATATAATAATTTTCCATCGCTTTGGTCGACGTGACTGTTGAAAACCGGTAGGAGGCGCGGCCACGTTGAAAGGCACACAAAAAACACGAAGAACCAATTGCACCGGAAGTCGGAGAAGCGGGAGATTGGAAAACGTAAACAGAGTAAACAACCTTGTGAGTTGCAGCCGGAGCATCCACAAAAATGCTGAAAAAGCCGCCGAAGCTGAAGAGCACCATAAGGTCCAAAGCAAAGAGGAACGTGAACATCGCAGCGGGCTCGGAGGCGATGGTAGGCGGTGCACCATGCTCGCTTACTGCGAGGCGACCGCTAAGTGCTTGCTACTTAAAACAGTTGCTTTGTTTTCCGTCTGCACTCAGCTTGAACTCCTGACACTTCTGTTCCTGAGCAGCCTGGCTGAGGAGGCGAAGGCCAAGGCGTTTGAGGAGAAATCTGCAACAATCAGAGCTCACCATGTCAAAGCAGTGGCTAAGGTCAGCGCCGTCTGCGTACCTCTTGAAACCAGGATTACATGAAGGCCAGCTGGGTTTATTTAGATTTGCATGGCTGTACGGTTGCCCAGAAACAACAAGTACATCATAGCAAGTGATCTTTCTCTCTTTCTAAAGACGATTTAAACCTTCAGTATGAGACCGCTTTTCAGTAGGATTGTGTGTGTTTTTTGACTACAAAAGCACACCCTAAGTAAGTATGAAAACGTGTAATCGCATCAGGGTTAGTTTTGTGTTCATCAGATTTTGGGTATACCTGAATTAATGACTCATAGCGTCAATAATGTATTCCAAGAGAGAAGCGGTGAATAGATTAAATTCACAGTGGTTCATTTTTAAAAACGTAGCATTTTAAAATGTAAAGAAAAAAAAGGTTTAAAAGGCATTTTAAAATGTAGCTTAAGAATTACGACTTAATTGCTATTTGGCCGAGGCTGTTTTTGCATGAATTACTGCTTCAATGCAGCGTGGCATGGACCTGATCAGCCTGTGCCTCTGCTGATGTTTTAAGAAAGTCTAGGTTTTCCTCTTTTTTATTTTTTTATAATTCTCAGTAGACTCTCGATTGTGTCAAGACTTGGTGTACTGGTACACCAAGTCCTGGTGCCAATTTTTGTAACCCTATTCAGACCTGTGTTTGGTAGCTCCTGAAGCAAAGATTCCAGCCACTTTGACCCTCTCTCAAAATGATTAGGGATGTTTTCCTTAGCTAAACCTTTTCCTTCCATTCAGCTTTCCATAAAATTTACACATTAAGCCGGACATAGAAAGCCCAACAGAATAAATCTTCATAGAGGCAAATAAGGTGATGAACAAAGACATCTGGACTCAATTATCAGGCACCTTCTAAAGCAGTACCATAATATTTTTGCATTATAAATCCTTTTTGTCGTTCTTGTGTAGTTTTTGAATTTCCTAGAAGACTCTTCGTCGTCATCCTTTCACTGCATTTTTATTTGTTATGTCAGGATGGGCGGTATGAATGAAAAATCCTGTCACAATATTTCCCAGTATTTATTCAGAAACAAATACCCAATTTCACTATAATCTTGTTTTACTTCAACTCATTATTGCATACAGTTTGGGGCCTCAGAGACACAAATATTGATTGCTCTTTAAATTCTAATGGTAATAAAAAAAAGTTGATGCCCTAATTTACTATGACAGTTACATTAATCCTGCAGGCTTATAATTCAACCATACACAATAATAATAACTGTTATACAGAGTCAGGATGTGGAAGCTCTCGCTGGAATGTAATGGTGAAAATATTCCAATGTGGTATGATTTTGTTCAGACTAAATATTAATAAATATAAATAAGACCCTAATGTCTATAAACCAGTCAGATGCCCTTTTATTTAAATCTGACATCAGCAGGACAAGAAAAACAATAAAATAAAGAAAAATACATATACTTATATTTTTCTGTTCATTAAATTCTTTCAAATTGAAACCTTGTCTTTCTGGTCTGTAACCAAAAAAACTATCAACATGTTCTTTGATGCACTTTGTTAAAACTGCAGTAGCAATTACATAAAGGTTAGGAAGATACGCTTTAATACATACATAATGAAAATTTTGTAGTTCTTTAAATGGTCAATTTTTGCTTAATTCAGTTCCTGAACTGAAACAGTTTGCATTATTGTCCTGTGACTAAAAAGCCAATGTCTTCACATTAATGCTTAAACTGTGCTTCAAATGCAACTTTTCAAAACATTACTCAAGTATTTTGTGTTGATTCTGTGAGATTGACCTGATTGTTTTTCTTTCTTTGCAGAAAGTGTTAAGAAAGGCAAGAGGATAAAGAAGATGAGGATTATGGTGATGAACTTCTTCATTAATGTCTTTTAATGCTTTTATTTTTTGAAAATTCTTTTGTTAAAATGTTTTTTTTTTTGTTTGTTTGTTTTTGTTTTTTTCCCCCATTCAATCTGTCGTTGTTAGTGATTTTTTTTTTATTATTCTTTTAACTTGTATTCTGGCTCTCAGTTGAGTTTTTTTCTCGCTCTCTTTTTCTCACAGCTATAATCCAGATGATTCCAGACTAATTTCATAATATCTGAGCTTATTTATGACATGAAACAGGCGTGTATTTAGGGGCTTCTTCACAGCGCGTTAGTGCTCGACATCCGCTCGGCTCTCGTCTCGCTCCCCGCTCATCCGTCATGGTTTCTGTCTTCAGCTGCACGCTTCACGGCCCCCTTCGAATTCCTCGCTTCGTCACGGCACACAGAATATCTGCACCGTCAGATGATATCCTGCTAATTCCTTATCACCACTGAGTTCATTCACAACACTTTGACTTTGAAAGGTCAAAGTAAAGGCAAATCTTTTCAGTGTGCTTGATTTATGAAAGAAATAACAGGTTTTTCTTTTCCTAATTTTTTTTTTTATTTATGGATCATTTTGCAAACGCAGCATGTTCTGTTAAAGTGATTGTGTCAAACATTCATGTGTTCATGTTTTGTAGGACCCTCTTGTCATTTCAGCTGTGATGTTATATGATACATCAACACAAAATAGTGTTGTTGTTTTTTTGTGAAGTGGAAAGAAAATTCAAAATGTTTTTGTTTTATTTTCAAATAAATAAGAATCTGTTCTCCATTTGTGTTCACCTTTATTTGTCTCCACCAGATTTACACATTTAGACACTGGATTGTTTTTTTTGTTTTTTTGATCATTCTTTGCAAAATATCTCAAGCTCAGTCACAGTGGACGGAGAGCAAGTTTGGCTTAGAAATGGACTTTGATTAGGCCATTCTTGCACATAAATACGCTTTAATTCTATTGTAGCTCCAGCTGGATGTTTAGGGTTGTTGTCCTGCTGGAAGGTGAACTTGCATCCCACAGTCAGTCAAATTCAAAGATACTTTAATTACCCTAACGGGAAATGAAATGTCATCACTCAAATCATCCAAGAGTCGCTGTGGATGGTAGCGTTGCCGGTTGCAAGGATCTCCAGTTGCAATAGAAGAGTCAAAATTCTGAAGAGGCCTCTGACTGAAGACTTGCTCATGACTGGCAGCAGCTCAATATCTGGGCAGTAGAGATGGTAATTCAAGGAAGCTCTGCTGATCCGCCTCATTTGCTTTTGCTGCTCTTTAAATGAATATCCTTGTCGATGATGATTGATGGAAGTGTTGGGTTTGAACACCCTCCTTTTCTCTCTGCTGTTTTCATCTCTGCCGGTGTTAGGACTCAGTTCAGATATCATTTGAGCTTCTGAGATGCTAATCAGCTGCTACCAGTTGTGCATCCAGTTACATATTCTGAAACTTGTTAGCTCTATCCATCTTTTCATGCTCTCTGACCATTTTTCCTGCTACTGTAAGAAGAAAATTGTCCATCTGATCCACTCCCGCTTTGTTTCTCTTGACAGTGTGATCATGCAGATGAGAATTGTTGGTTTTCTGACACGCAGGGAAAATTTTGGTCTCAAAATTAATATTCGACTCAAATATGTGTTAGGTGGACAGCCACGTACGGTTGGCGTCACTGATGTTTCATGTGGCGATATCAGAAAGGGATGAATACAAATGTAAGGAAAACTCTTCAGATTTTAATTTGCTAAAAACAAAGCTTGCAAAAGATTTTCTTTCACATTCACAATTGTGCATCACTTTAGTTCGGGAGGTTAAGGTGTATGAATGCTTCTTCAAGGATCTATGTAATTCTCCTCTTCCTGTCACTTATTTGGGCCTCGGTGAAGACATTCCTTGCCTTTATGTCCTTTTTTGTTTGTTTTTTTCATTCTAAAATCTGATCTGGCACCCCTGGGAGCATTGGCTTCTCATGTTTATCTCCCTGCTCAGATTTGGGGAGCTGTAACTTGGTCGCCTGAGCCCTCCACATGTCTCTCAGGAGCAGATCTGACTTACTGCTCACTCAGTGATTCACATATTTTTATACTGGAGCCTCAGATAACACATCTGCACATGTTTTCAAAACCCAAATGTAACTGTTTTGACTTCTTTTACTTGGACGCGTGTTGGCTGCAAGGTAATTTGTAAAAAAAAAAAAAAAAAAAAAAGGTTTTTAAGGGGGGTGTTTTAGAAACTCAAATTCAACATATGTGCTTCACAGAGATGGTCAATATATCTATGCAGTTTTGCTCCCTGCTGGTTGATGGATGATGTTTCTCTGCAGCAGCTGGCTGGAGATGCAGAGGCTCCTCTCATGTGTCATTTTATTGTCCTCTATTCATGCTTTGCTTTCGCTCCTAGAAGAAAATTGGGCTTTCATTATATATGTGTTTGTTCTTGTGTATTAAAGCTGAAGCCAAACTAAAATGACGCCTTGTCCAGCTCCTCTCTTTAGATTCCTTCTCTTAAATCATTTTTTCCAACATGAATCCTCTCTGGAATGAAGTCCCTCTGCAAATTTCTGGCTGTTTCCTCCTGTGACATTTTTCCAGACAGACTCAGAAGTAAAAAAAAAAAAAAAAAAAAAAACTTCACGTTTCTTAACAAGGAACACATGCTTTGTCCGCTTTGCTTAAACTCTATCGCATGAAATCAATCTCGGAGCGAACGGACGAGGGCTTACGGGGGGAAAAAGTACGCTTTTATCTCCACATTTGGCCTCGCAGCCAGAAGATGACGGGATGTGAATTGACAGGGTCTGAAAAGATTACGGGAGAAATGTGAAATAAGTAGTAAAAGGCATTCCCAGACCTCTTTATGGTTGTGAGTAACTGTTTTGGGGAATGCAGAACATCCCAGAGTTCCCAAAACAACTGATAATACACGCTGGGAAGGCAAACAAAAACTCTGATTGTCCTCCAGCTTTTTTTTTCTCGTCTTTTTAGCAAAGGTCCTCTATGACGCTTGCACATCTCTAAATTTGCTTTCTCATTGAGAGGTAGTCAAATCATCCAGCGAAGTTTTGGTTCCCATTTTCGGAACCAGCCTCTCAATGGAAAACACACAGCTGATGGCTGCTGGTAGCCTTGAACAGAAAAGGTACGGTCGCATATTTCTTCTATATGTGGTTTCAGTCGGCCTGGTCGTGACTGGCGGAGGAAAAAGTGAGTTTTAGATGACAGGAAACACAAGGTTGTTTTTATGAACTCATTTCTGGTTCCCTCCAGAACTCACCAGCAACTTTAGACAGACTTTATATTCTAATTCTGTAACATGTCATGAGGTGAGTTTTGCTTAAAAGTAAAATGTTGCAGTTTAGGTTAAATGTGCAAGAAGCGGGTTTTCCTGCAGCCAAGTGGGCTACGACAAGCAACCATGCAGCGACACCGAGAAATTTCTAGAAACCTTCTGCAGCACGTGTGCAGAGTCGTGAAAGTTTTGTGCAGTGCCTTTTATTTATTTTATTTTTTTTCGAGCATCTACTTTACTTCCATAAACTATATTTTTTCGTTGTTATTTTTCTAGACTTACCACAGATGCCTTCATCTGATTCTTGGTCCAAACAACCAAGATAATTTACAGTTGAAGAGAGGGAAAGGGGGTGGAGATGCACTTTAAAGGTGGGAAAAAACAAAATAAACTAAACCAGAAAGGGAATCTGACTTCAGAAAGAGCTGGGGGAAAGTTCCTGTCTGTGCACCGATCCAGAGCAACAGACGCCGTAGATGTGACAATGGATTAGAAGGAGGGATGAGGAAAAAAGGAAAGGAGGGTGGGAGTGTGAACATGTGCAGGAAGAAAAAAAAAGAGCTTACCCAAACCTTGCATTTGTTGGAGGCTTGACTATCTTGTGATGGCTCCTCTTCTCCTGTCCGCTTTCTCCACGCCGTCCTGCCAGCTCGCGTAAACTCATGGAACGCACGCTGTGCTTTTTTTTGGAGAAAACGTTTCTACACTTCACTGCTGCAGTATTTACATGGACCCAACTGAAGGAATACCATGGAGCCCTACATCGACTCATTCAAAAACGTCCCTGCTAGATTTTGGGTGTGACGTGACGCCTTTCTGCATGACTGGATGAACTTAAGGAGAAGGAAAATGCAAATACCAGCGTTAATCTGGATGCTGCAGCTCCTGAACGTTGCAAAAGGCCCGGACAGCACGAGCGTTGTGAGATTTAAACGTGAGTCTGGAGTTTCTGAAAAACCAACTGCGAGTTGTTGTGAACTCTCCTGCTAGGGGACAGAGAGCGCACAAGGGGGTACATATGGAGACGATAAGCGTGGACTCTTCAGCTTTCAGCGAAGGATGTGGTCATAGATTTCCATTTGATTTACTCCCATGCAGGCAGAGAATTTATAGCTCAGATCACAACTCGTAAAAGCAAGTAGCCTGGAATATTTGCATGCCGCAAAACAGGGTCTGTTGAACGGAGTGTGTAATCTGAACCTTAAATAAATTTTTATTTATTTATTTTTTCCAATGCAGCTCATTCCAAGAGCTCTCATGCGTGCAGGATGAATTTGAATTCCTTGTTTACCTCTGAACCTGTGACAGGTAGTGATCCGGCGGGCAGCGGCTGTCAGGTAGGATGTGCAACATGCTCTCTGCTGAACGGCTGTCTGTCCTGTAAGCCTCGCTTCTTCTTCCACCTGGAGCTGGACGGCATCCAGCAGAGGGGGACGTGCATGTCCTCCTGTCCCCGTGGTCACTACGGCATGCGCTCTCCCCACATCAGCACTTGCATCAGTAGGTACCCAAAATAAACAAATAAAATGAGAGAACCTAGGTTTAATCAAAGGCTGACAAAATGATGGATTTATAAAATGATTTATATATAGTATTCTGCAAACATGTTCACACTCTACTGGCCATTTTTTATTTTTTAGTTTGTTAATTACAATTGCAAGCTTTTTTTTGTTATATTTTGATTTTATGTGAAAGAGCAATGTCACTGAGGAAGGAAATGAAACATTTTTGATGACTAAAGCTGAAAAGTGTGGCATGCTTTTACAGCGGCAATCATTTGGGGCATGTTTCTGTTATCTTTAGGGTAAGGTTAGAGCTAGTAACTAAAACCTTTGCCTGTTTTTCTTTGTATAGTAGCTGGATCTCAGTCAGATGGCCTAAAGAGCCTCTGTAAACATTAATGTGCAACCATTGCCACATATTCACAATTAGATGTGGGTCTGAACTTTAACTAGGCCATTTTAACTACTTTTTTGTTTTTATCTGAAGCCTTTTATTACATGTTTAATGTTTAGTTTTGTTGTCCTGCTGTAAGGTCAGCCTTCACCTCAGTCTCACTTGCAACCTCATACAGGTTCTCTTCTTGACTCCGTCTATCCATGCATAATTTGCAAAATAAAACAATAATCTGGTGGTGAAATTATGTTTTTATGTTGATTTGTTGGGACTTTAATGTCACTTAAAGAATTTTGCTTACATCCAATACTTTTTGTGTCAATCTACGGCAAAACTCTGAGCATGTTACCTAACTCTGGGGTATTTTTTTTGGCCTTCTGGCCAATAAAATTGTTTTATCAATTCCACAGAACCTTTAATATGATATTAACAAAATCAGTTTGCTTGGAATTATTCCTTTTTCCATTTTCTCTTTTAGGCAATCATTCAGTTGTGAAGCAGCCCCATACTACCATGTTTAACAAAGTCTTGTTAATTTTATTGGTAGAGGTTTGTGCTCTTCAAACATCTGTCAGAAATTCAACAAAATAACAAAAACATCCAATTTTCTTTTCAAAATGCATTGTTTTCTTTCCTTTTCCAATATTCTGTATTGTTCGTGCACGTGTGGGTCCACCAGCACAAGTAGCAGTATTTTGCTGATGACAGTGTGGTTGCTCTGCACTGACCGAGGTTCATTCCTTTTGGCCTGCAGAGTGCAAGGTGGATTGCGCCTCCTGCTTCAGCGAAAACTTCTGCACCCGCTGTCATCCTGGCCACTTTCTGTTCCGGGGGAAATGTGAAAGCAGCTGTCCGAACGGGCTGACCGCAAATGCTGCACTGCGAGAATGCACAGGTACAACGCTTCGTCACGGCAACATGAAAATGGCTGAAACTGGGGTCTAAGCAGTGTAATAAATTGCCCCTGTCTTTGTCAGAGTGCCCTGAAGGATGTGAGCTGTGTGTGGGGAGGAACAATTGCACGAGGTGCAGAGCAGACATGTACCTCCTCCATGGCCAGTGCAACCACACATGTCCCAAAGGCTTTGAGCCTGATGTCCAGCTCATGCAGTGCATGTCCCAAGGTGAGAGACGTTGTCCTTACCATGCTTTTTACCCCTCTCTCTCCGATGAGTGTGTTTCGGTTTCTGATTGCCCTGTGTGTCTTGAAGTTCATTGCGAAGTTGGGGAATGGACGAGTTGGAGTCAGTGCGTTCGGAAGCAGAACACGACCGTCCACAGGCGGGGAGAGGAAACACGCACGCGACAAATCCTGCATTTCCCAAGCGCCTCCGGTGACCCCTGCCCGCACGTTTCAGAGATCAGGAAATGTGCAACAAAAAAAAAGCAGAAAGGCAGGTCGGAATGAGCTGAGGAAATCACTTGTAAATTATTAAACATTCAGTCTTGTATTGCTCCTTTCCACTTTTGGGGATTTGGTAATATTTCAGAAAAATAAATGATTTTCTCTCGGAATTCACAAGAAGTGAAAAGAATTGGTTGTTCAATTAATTAATTTCATGGTTAAAATCTCACATTTAGCTGCCACCATTTCAACATACTACTTCAGAGTATGTTTTTACTCAAACCGTTCAAAGTGACTACAACTTTTTCTGGTGAATGATTCAAACAAATAATGTAGATATTGTGAAACAACAGTGTGAGGAATAAATCTTATCTTTGCACGTGAATGTTACTCAAATATGTTTACAGTCTGTAATTTGTAATCCTAGTTTTTTTTTTATAATGTACAACGTGATTACGTTTCTGTCTGCTGAAAAAGAAATGCTCTTCTTTATGTCTTTTTTTTTTCTAGAGTTGCTTGATCCTGAGTGGGTATAGTTCTGCCATTGTACATTTTGTTATATTTGTGTTGCTATTAAAATTTGCTTCTAAAGTTATAAACACATGAAACTTTTTCCCAGAAATGTTTGTCCAATCGCCTAGCCGGTTGTCTCTTTTTCTGGTCGCAGAGCTTTTAAAATGTAGGGACAGTCACATGAATTATTGTCTATGTGTGCACATGTAGAACTTCTAGAGTGCTCTACAGGTCATAAGCTATAGTGTATCTAATAAAAGGGATTTTGTAACAAAAAGAACATATTTCAAACAGAAAGGCTTAATCTTTGCACAAAGGCATGAAATATTGAAACAAACTTTACCTCTTCCTTTTGAACACTAATGCCTAAAATAAAATGTCAAATAAATCTACATTAACTTAACATAATTAAATAAACAGGAGAACAATTTGCTCAAACAATTAGGACCTAAGTGCGCAGCTGCAGTAGTGCGTGTCAATATCTGTGTGTTAGCGCCTCCTCTGGTCATTAAAGGCAGCTCAGGACCTGGGAGGGCCGCCGCCACACCTCAGGCTCTGTCAGTGCTAAAACATTGTATTTTCTTGTCGTATCTTTATACACAGCGAAAAATGACTGGCGGTTTATAAATATCTGCATCTAGACATCAGGTGAAGACGTTGTAGGAGTCTCCTGTTTTCAGGTAAGCTAGCTAAAAGCTAACCCCCTAGCCTACAGGCTAACATAACAATATTCTACTTTAGGTGAAAAGATAATATTGGTTTGGGAAATGTTTTACCTCAGCTGATCGTCTGGCAGTTACCTTACTCTCCATTAGACAGAAAAACATCCGAGGTCGCGACAGGACAGGAGAAACTATTTTGTTAGCAATTTAAGAGTTTGCTAACATTAGCTTAGCTTAAATGGCTTAGTTATCCACTGTTAAACAGCATTTTTTTAGCTTCATTTATTAGAATTTGTATTGTTTATGACAAAATACATTCTTTCGAAAATAGATCATGTTCGCTACGAGAGAATATTTTTATTTAAATCAGGTTTTTAGTAATTCCGAGATGTTAATGTGGGTTGTGTATGTATGGGCGTTACCAGAAACAAACACCTGTTTTCCCCGTGACAGCAGAGCGGCCAGAGTGTTACAAACACGTTACAAACAAGGTAAAAGATCACTAGGTTCAAGAAGTTTACAACGGGTGACATTCTGATGAAATACCCAGATGATTAATTATGTTATAAATTCTACAAGTTTTTGATTAAACATTTGATAGTGACAAAAGAACAAAACAAACAAATGCTGAAGAAGTCTGAAAAGTGATCAACAGTTTTGTACTGGTAAGATATTACCATGATCAATTAACTAGGAATCAAAATCTGTTCATTTTCATTTGGCTGTCTCAGATTAAAGCCTAAGATTTATACTTTCTCTTTTTGGAGTTACTGATCGTCAAACCGCAGATGAAGTTAAATCAGAAAAAACTGGGCATTTCAAAACTATTGTCTGCATAATGTGTACAGTTTGACATGCTCAAGAAAACTGTTCTGTGGGAGATTTTCACCCTGTGCACTGGCTGTTTGTTGTGTTTCAGGGCGAGGAGGAGGAGGACGGGGCATAGCAACAAGAGACCCCAGCTGCAGGACACGCATAGCAAGTATTTACCAAACCAGTTAAGCAGTACACAGAAAGGAACACACTTCCCACGGGGTTTAAAGTGATGGTTCTGTTTCTCTCCGCAGCATGGCCGGGTGTGGAGAAGTGAATCTGTCTGTGAACACCCCAGCTCCCTCCAAGCTTAAAGAAGATGCAGAAGACGAGTCTTGCAGTTCCACCGCCACCGCTGCTGTACCACCGGAGTGCGCCATCTGCCTGCAGACCTGCGTCCACCCTGTCCGTCTCCCCTGCTGCCATGTCTTCTGTTTTCTGTGCGTGAAAGGCGCCTCCTGGCACAGCAAGCGCTGTGCTCTCTGTCGACAGGAAATCCCAGAGGACTTCCTGGAGCGCCCGGTCCTGCTCTCCCTCGAGGAACTGAAAGCTGCGGCCGCTGGTTTACACCGCGGTGCGAGCGAGTCGCGTGGAGACTACACGTGGTACTACGAGGGGCGCAACGGCTGGTGGCAGTACGACGAGCGCACCAGCCGAGAGCTGGAGGAGGCCTTCATGAAGGGCAGGAAGAGCACCGAGATGCTGATTGCAGGGTTCCTTTACGTGGCGGATCTGGAGAATATGGTGCAGTATCGGCGGAACGAGCACGGCCGCCGGCGCAAGATGAAGAGGGACGTAGTTAATATCCCTAAGAAGGGCGTGGCAGGATTGAGACTGGACTCTGAGCCTGTCTCCGTCACCGCTTTACCAGCGGCGGTCTCTGCTACAGCAGAGCGTGTGAGCTCAGCTGATGGCTCTGACTCCGCAGGTCAGTCCCAGCCTTCATCCTTCGGGATTTTGGTTCCTCTTCCTCCTGTCAGACCTCAAACACTCCTCGGACGTCATCTCGGCAGTCCTCTGTCTCCTTCACCGTCGCCTCTGGAACAGTCTTTCTCTCAGCTGCTAATCAGCCAGCCAGAGGGCGAAGAGCTGGAAGGAGACGGCGAGCTGCAGACGTACGAGTCTGCATCAGGGAGCAGCGAGAGTGAAGAGGAGGAGGAAGACAGTGAGAGGAGAGGAGAGTCCGAGGAGCGACGGAGACGCACACTGAGGCCGCTAAGGGAGAACCAGCCAACCAGAGTTCCTCCGAGAGGCATGCCGTCCAGCTCTGGCCTCAGCCTCCGCTCGCGCAGTCCTGATGGACAGTGCACCGTTACAGAAGTGTAGCTCACCGGAGGGGTTTCCATTTCATAAGACTCGTATCAGCTCAGCAAAAAAATGTCTGAAGATGCAAATCATCTCAAAGGTCCGATTAAAAGGAGAAATACTGCTGCTTTATTGTGATAATGTGCCAAATATGATTTTTTTTGTGTCCGTCTATTTTTTACGTTGAAATAATAAGTGGATTCAATTTAGCCTGTCTGCTGAAGCTTTACAACAAAAATAATTAGCAGTAGGTAAGATAAAATTAGAAGAAACATTTAAAAGGACACAAATGACGTGTTGAAGCCTTTTCCATTACAGAAACATAAGCGGCAAGAAAAGGGCTGTTTTCTTAGACATATAAAATAACCTGATTTTATTACAGATGGATGATTCAACAGCTCCTGGACAGATGCTGGAACTCTGATGTATCCAACCCCAGTTCTGTGCTGGTGACGGCAAAAATAGATGGTTTTAATTCCTTTAATATTGAATCTTCAGGCTGCTTAATGGTTGGATGCGTTAAACTATTCAATCTTCTCTTCAAACAGCCTCTTTCTGCTTCTGTCCCCCTCCATCCTACATTTTCTTTCTTCCTTTATATCTTCCGTTGCTTTATTGTAAATGCTAAATAATCCACTAATAATTCACAGGAGTTCCAGCATATATTTATGATCTGTAAAGCAGACCCCCCGGTTTTGCTCTTGGCTCATGTAGAGACATTTATCGTTTTGGTGAGTTTAATTTTTTCTGCAATGCAAACACAAAACGTATTTTCAAGTCAAACCATGCCTCTTCTCACAAATCTTTTTAGCTCAGTGATTTTTATATTTTTTATTATTATTTTTTTTTTAGCTGATAACTTTAATCATTTTTTTGCTTTCAGTTTCTGGGTGATGAAGTGAAAATGAAGCCAAAATGTAGCAACTTGCATCTGCACTGCGGATGGTTAACAGCTTTTTTTTCTTTCACGTTGCACTTATTTTTCATTTTTAAACGTCGGTACTCAGGACGTGATCTGCTGAAACTGAAACAGGAGGTTATATAAACGTGACATGTGCGAGAGCAGAGGGAGGCTGTATTCCCTCTATTTTAGTGTCTTGTTTTAATTATCGACTGTTGGTGCCGCTGTGAACAGCGCTGGGTGCTGAAAAGCTACTGGCAGATCCACTGGAAAGTTTTTGTTTCTGTGTTCAGGAGCACACATTTGGGTTTCTATTTTTGACTGAGCACTCCTAACAGAGTCACTATCAAAGCAGCTGCACTGACATATTCTTGGATGAGTTTGGCCTGTTTACTCTCTCGCTCTGGTTCTTTTCCCTTTTCTTCCTGCTGGTTTTGGTCGTCTTTTCTCAGTTGGACTCTGTGTGTGTGTGACTGCCTTTTTTTTTCTCTTCATTTGTGTTGTGTTTCTCTAGTGATGTGTTGTGAAGCTATTAAAGTGTTAATGACTTAAAACTACATGCTGCTGAATAACTTTTTTAAGACAGTTTCAACAATGAAGCATTTATGTAAAAACAAAAGTTGCAAAAGAAATAAAAATCTGAATTGCCAGCTCAGGCTTTTTTAAGATTGGTGATTGGCCACAAAACTGCTATTAGTGCACCATTAATAACTAATGCATGCTCTAAATTAAAAAAATATATCGCGTTTAATTATTTAATTTTTAAATAAATAAAAATAACAATAGCTGTTGATGTGAAAGCAGAGCATCATTCATTGCCAAAGTCTTAAAAAAAGAAAACAAAGAACAGCTCTCGCTAGCTGAATCGGGTCCCACCACTCACCGCATAGAGCCGTTCAAAGGAATCCAGTCGCTGGTGAACGACACGCCAACACTCAGCAGCTAAGATTTGGCTTCCTCTGACCATAAAATATACCTGGTATCTTTCTTTCCACCGGTATCTGCAGCTTTTCTTTCGAATGACCAGGTTTTAAGCCAGTTTTCCATCATTATTTTTCACACAATCCTTTGGAAAGCTAACTGTAGCGTCGCACTTTGAGCTAACGTCACGGCAAATAAACGGTCGTTTACATGCAGTGTCTCGCGGACCACCAGGGGGCGCGCGCGGACCACAAGCTCACAGTTTGAGAAAGACTGCTACTGTATAGGTACAATTTCCAGATGTTTACTTGAAATGTAAAAAAAAAAAAAAAAAAAGCAGTGGCTTTATCAAGAAAATAAAATGTGGAAATATTAAAATAACATTTCAAAACAGCAAATCATAGTTTATGCACAAGTGGATCTTCCAAATGATCAGAATATGGACTAATTAGTTCTCAGGTGTTTTAAATTACACAAACGTCGATGTTTTGGGGCTACTTTGACAAAGTCCATCTAAACCTCCCGGAGACCAGGTGACCGTAAACAATTCGGTCTACAAACTGGACTCAGTTACCCCAGGAGGAATGGGCCGAAATTTCATCAAACTACTGAGAAAAGTTTGTTGAAGTGTAACAAAATGGGTGGTCCATTTTGTGTTGAAAGACACTGTTCAGTAATACATGTATATTAACATCTCACTGAAGAAAGTCATAAAAATATATTTCCTCTTATTATTCATTTCTTTTGCTTTTAGCAAACATAAATAACTTTGGTAATCCCATATATTTATTCTGGTTCATATCTCAAATACTTGTTTTGCTAGATGCTATGATTTTTGTCCACCAGGCGAAGCTGTTGCACAAAAAAAAAACCTTATTTTAAAACCTTTACTCTGAAACCTTTCAACAATCTCCAGAAAACCTTTACTTTCACTGTATCCATAGCAACATATATAATTACAATTCAGTCTAATTAAAATCACACATGCTTCCTTTCATGTGCTCCAAATGTATTGTACAGACTTAAAAATGCCCACAAAGAGATAAAATAGAAAAGCCACAGTTGTCCACTTATATTCACATTAAACTAATGTGATCAGAGAATTTCATGCCTGACGTTTTAAGCTAAGCAGAGAAAAATTCATAGCAGTGAAAATTGGATATAATTGGTGGATTAACATGCTACTCCTAAAGCTGCTAAGCTGCAGCTCTCGCCAAGAGAGGGAAACCCCAGGCTGTTTGTCTGCAGTTGGAATGTGAGTTGAATTAGAATCATGACTGAATGGGACAGATTTTGGCCAGTGTCTTGCCTGAGTTTCCAAAGACGGTCTGTGTACTGCATAAAAAGTAACCATAGTAGCCAAATGTTTGCAGTTTGTAAAAAAATACCTTTTCCACATGTATATTGCCATCTAATTTTTGTTTTACAAGTTATTTTTTTGTTTGTCACATGTTCAAAATGAAAACTAATGAGCTGCATGCAGATTTCAAACTGGAAAGTATGGAAAGATTAATGCAGCCATTTATGCAAAGAAGTCTCCAGTAACTTGGAAGACCATCACTGAGTCAAGAGAAACAGTCAGTCCAGATGTGGCTTCAGGGTACATTTGTCTGTTTTTTTCCCCTCATCATTACATCTGGAAAACTACTGTATACCAAATAGCTCATTGCAAAACAAGATAAAGTTTCTCTATAATATAAAGCATACAGTGAACAATCATTAAATAGGCAGGAAATAATTTTTTTAAAACTAACAGTTAAAACATGCAGCCTTATGAAAAAGTATTTGCACTTAGAGAGTTCTTTGGTTTAATTCACTGAATGTTTTTTAGGGTGTTTGAGGTCATTGTACAGCATCCGAGTCGGACTTGAGTTTAGTTTTTGACTAGTCCACTAAAAAACCTGTCTTCTTTTAAACTATTGAGACAAGAAATTACTTGTGTGCTTCAGATCCTGCTTCATCACGTGTGCTTGAGCTTTGGGTCGTAAAGTCTCGACATTCTTCAGGATTCTATGCTAGATAGCAAAATTCATTATATGGTTTCATTATGTGTGGAAGAATGCTCCAAATCACTCCCACCACGTTACTGTTCAGACTGGTGTTCTTTTCACTGCAATGCTTTATGTTCTGAATGAGGATCCACATCCAGACAGTCTGGACTGTCTGGAATAGACTAACACATTGATTCTCAAAATATTTCTGTATAATATTCCAACGTTTTAGGGTATCAAGATTTTTTTTGTTTTGGGTTTTTTTGTAATGTGAGATGGGCCTTTGAATTTTCTTTTTTTTCAGTGGTGGTTTTGGCCTTCAAACGCTCAATTACCAGTTGCTCGCTCATATTGTTGAGTGTTGAGCTAGCTAGCTGAAGATGTGTCTTGTTGTCTTGTCCCTTGATCTGGCTAGCTAGACAGCTAGCTTAAGATAGCTAGGTAGTGCTGGTTAGCTAGACAGTTGGATGACTAGATGGCTAGTTAACTAGATAAACATCTAGATAACTAGAAAGCTATCTGGTTAGCTAGATAGTTCTAGTTAGGTAGCTCTAGCTAACGAGATAGAGTTAGTTAGCTAGCTCTATCTATTTCTCTATCTAGGAGGGAAAAAGAAAGGGTGTATGATCAAAAGATATTTGACAAAGGGAAGGATGAAGGCAAAGGTACGAGCAAAGAAAAAAAAAAGAACAACATGCTGCACGAAAGTCGCAGACACCCTGACTTCATGTTTTACAATTTACTGCCCCTTGGTCTGGGCATGCTGTATATGATACACTCGGACAGACAGAGAGGAGACGATGCTACTATATGTTTTCAGACACATAGCTGCAGGTTAAATATGTGCACCATATTATGGCTGAAGACCTCCTGCTGTCCATTTCTTCACACGCCTGGAAAAACACACCCTGTCTCCAGCACCTCCACAAATAGTCCCTTCATATGCATCTTTCGTCACCCTGAGGCTCATAACTGAGCTTTGTTAATCTGGGGGTTATTCATGACCATTTTCTACCTGGCCATGTCTGCTAACTTATATAAATAATTTTTTTTTTCCTTTTCAAAATTCAGGCTCCTTTTGTTTGTTCCAGACACTCATGTTCAAATATTTCTATTGCATTTTCTTACAGCTTTGCATATTTTAGATTGTATTCACTGTACAGTATTTCTCCCCATAAACCTTTAGATTCACAGACAGGGTAGCTCACCACTACAGGAGCCAACAATGACTTCACTCCTACTGTAACTCTCATCGACCTCACACCATTAGAGCCTATCAAGTGACATGTCTTCCTAATCCTGGGGCTACTGAACCATTTATATCAGCAACATATCATATTAATACTATGACGACACCTAAAATCATAAAGTCCAGGGCAAGTCTAAATACAGGAGAATATAATGACGCAATTTATGAGTTCTCCACCAAGAAGCTTAAATGTGTAACGAAACTGAAATAAAAGATCCAAAAAGTAGGTGCACGCACAAAATAAAAATATCCAGCACTGAATATAACGTCATTGAATATAACGACTATTAATAAATATTGAAATATTGAAATTTATCAATATTTTTCTTCCTCTAATTGGAATGTTGTTTTAATATACTGCTACATAAAAGCCAGCTTCTACCCATGAAGACGAGTTAATCATGAAATTATACTGTTTTTAGCTGACATAAATATCTGTTTTACATCACCAGCCTGCACTGATGAGGGACTTAAATAGTTGTGGTGAATGAAGCGTGGCTGAAAGATGGCATCTATGAGCTTGTTGATGCAATGCAGACTTTTAGTTATGTTAGTCTGATCATAATGGGGAACTTATTCCTCCTCCTTACCTCTGTTTACATGTAGGAAAAGTTTAATGCTGTGGAAAGTCAGTTACACAAATAACACATATTACACTCATAGCTACATGATGGATTGCAACAAACCAGTTAATTGGTTTGTTGCAATGATAGTCTTCTCTCTTAAACATCTTCCAACCCTTAGAACATTTTGTCTTAGTTTGGAATTAGGGGGTGTCATCATTTGGATGCTCATTTTGGATTAAATCACTTTTTATGTCTTACAACTGAGTTCTGGCTGGATTAAGGCCTTCAGTGTTTCAAAAATATTATTTATTGATACAATCATCACCTAAACAGAAGACCCTTTTCTACATGTTGGCTTTGCCTCCTACGTTGGAGAGGAAAATCTTTTTCTCAGCAATTTTTTTCTTCTTCCATGTCTTGAGGTCAGATTTGTGAAGGGTACACATTAAGTGCCATGTCTTCTTTTCTAATTAGTCCTCTGCATAACCTGCTTGTAAGTTTAGGTGGAGCGTAGTAGATTTGTAGATGTGCCTTACAGATGTATTCTTTCCGTTTTCAGTTAATTGAGTGCCTTGAGAACGCTAACCCCTGCTACAAAGAGCTGCAAATTATCTTAACAGTCCTTAGCAGCATTGCTGTATCCTCTTTAAAGCACGCGTTTATGCACTGAGGAAAACAAGGTCACATGAATGGGCCACGAGCCAAATGAGGGCCAATGTAGTTGCTCCCAGCTGACCAGTCCACTGAAGCCAGTTTAAAATTTGTCATTCGTCACAAGATAAATAGATCCCTATAGTCACCTCTGCCAAGCAACACCAGCTAATCCCACG